GAGTCAGTAGGGTCTTTAAAAACCTAATCTTGTGATAAGCGTCCTGTTCCTGCCATAAGTGATCAAGCCCTGAGGCCTGCAAGGGGTCTCTGCAGAGGTTTCCATCAGCCCACAGGCAATAGCATGGCCACGTACTTATGGTCACCCACTGTTACCGGCACTGCTTGGGTTCCACTTTTTGTAACAGCTCCTGTGGAAGTGCAGAGTATCCTGGGGAAGCCATCCCTCACCACCTGGGTGTCCCGATGGTGGACCCAGGTCACTGCTGGGCAAGCTTCTTTTCCAGGAAGTCTACTTTCCCATTCATGGCTACAGTGTTGGGAGTCCCCAGAATGCTGGAAATCTTCCCAGGCCTTCAGCAGCACAATCACCTGTAACTTGGCTATGGAAGCCAAGAGGAAGCAGGTTGGTAGTCAACCTGGCAAAGTCAACACTGAGCTCTCATCCTGAGTGGCCACCACCAGGCTTCAGGAAGTACCAGGCTCATCAGAGCCCTTAGACTAGGCAGGCTGCAAGAAGCAGAAGCAGTTGGGTTCTTTTATACCAAAACAGCAAAACTATTTTGCTATAAAGCTATGCATGTCTGGGGGGCAGCAAGTATATGGGGAATTTCTGAACACTCAATTTTGCTATGAACCTAAAATGTTTCTTTAAAAAAATCCAAAGCTGGGGTGCCTGGGTGGCACAGTTGGTTAAGCATGCAACTCTTGGTTTTGGGCTCAGATCATGATCTCAGCATTATGAGGCAGAGCCTGTTGTCAGGCTCCATGCTTAGCGTGGAATCTGCTGTCCCTCTCCCTCTGTTCTTCCCACTGCTCACTAGCTCTTTCTCTCAAATAAATAAAATCTTTTCTAAAAAATCCAAAGCTAAAAACAACAACAAAAAAATCCAAAACTACTAAAACAAATCTTGGAAGTGACATACCATCACTTCTACTCTATTCTTTTGATCATACAGACCAAACTTGGTATAATATGGGAAGGGACTAAACATGGTAATAAATAACAAGAGGCATCATTGGGGGCTGATAGATAGCCCAAATTTGTTAAAGTGGGCCTAGATGATTTCATTGGTGAATTCTATCAAGTATTTAAAGAAGGAATAATGCCAACTTCTAAAATCCTCTTTCATAAAAGTGATGATAAAACACTTCCCCACTCATTCTATGAGGTCAGCATCATCTTGGTAGTATGATAAGGCATAGATATTGATAGAGAGGAAATGTGCAGATCAATATCCTATGTGGGATTTATCCCAGAAGTGCAAGGTTGAATTAACATTCAAGAACTAACCAGTGTAATTCACCACAGCAATAGAGTAAGGAAAAGCCATATGAACATCTTACTAGATATACAAAAAGCAAAAAGCCTATGACAAAAAACAATATCCATTTATGACTTTACAAAGCAAACAACAGCAAAATCTCTCATCAAAGAAGGAATAGACAGTAACTTTCTCAACTTGAGAAAAGGCATCTGCAAAAAGCTACAGCTAATACCACACTCAGTGGTAAAGAATTTAACTATTTTCCATTGTGATCAGGAGTAAAACAAGGCTGCCCTTTCTTACCACTCTTCTTAAACATTATACTGTAAGTCCTAAGTAGTGCAACAACAACAACAACAAAAAGAAATTAAAAGTATACATATTGGAAAGGAAGAAGGAAAAAAACTGTCTCTGGTTATAAAGACAGATTGTCTAAGTAGAAAATCACAAAGAATCTACAAAAAAAGCTTCTTGAACTAATAAGTGAGGTTAGCAAGATTGCCATATAAAAGGTTAATATAAAAAGTCAGTTGTATTTCTAGTAACTGTATACTAGTAATGAATGATTGGAAATTGAATACTTTTAAAAGTACCATTTAAAATAACACCAAAGAACCCATATAATAGGCATAAATCTGACAAAGTATATGTAAAGTCTATATGCTGAAAAAGACAAAGATGGACAAAGTGATTCAAACAAGGCCCAAATAGAGAAAAACATAGCATTCATAAACTGGAAGACTCAATATTGTTAATATATGTCTCTTCTCTCTAATGTATTTTTTAAGTTTTCTTTAAATTTTTTTAAATATTTTTATTTATTTATTCATAGAGACAGAGAGGCAGAGACACAGGCAGATCTCTAATGTATTTTTAAATTCAACTCAATTCCTATATACATCCCAGCAAGGTTTTTTTTTTTTTTTAAAGATTTGATTTATTTATTCATGAGAGACACACACAGAGAGAGGTAGAGACATAGGCAGAGGGAGAAGCAGGCTTCCTGTGGGGAGCCCAATGTGGGACTCGATCCTGGGGCTCCAGGATCATGCCCTGAGCCAAAGGCAGATGCTCAACCGCTGAGCCACCCAGGCATCCCAAGGTTTTTTATTTTAGAAAACAATGAGCTAATTCCAAAATTTTATATAAAAGGCAAAAGAAATAGAATAGCTAAAATTATTTTTAAAAAAGAACACAGTTGAAGGATTCATACAACCTGATTTTAGGCCTTATGAAAAGCTATGTATGTCACTGGCTAGACAGTGTACTACTGGCAAAATGACAGAGATTAATGGAAAAGAATAGAGAGTGTAGAAATAGACCCATGCATATATGGTCAATTGGTTTTTGACAAATATACAAGTATCAAGAAATAATGCTAGAGCAACTAGATGGCCACAAGCCAAAAACCAAAACAAACTGCAACAATCAAAAAAAAAAAAAAAAAAAAAGGGACACCCCCCAAAAAAACCTTTAATCTATACCATATACCATGTAAGAAATCAAATGAAAATGAATCACAGACCTAACTGTAAAAGCTAAAACTGTAAAACTTCTATATAAAAGCATAGAAGAAAACATTTGTAACTTTGGCAAAGATCTCTTAGGTATAAAAACAAAATCACAATCCACAAAAAAATGAATTGGACTTCATCAAAATTAGAAACCTTTGCCCTTCAAAAGGTGTTTCATTCTTTTAACTAAAGCATTCAGTTATAAGAATGAAAAGCCACAGACTAAAAGAAAATATTTATTTAATTATCAGAAGTCAATATTAAATAGTTGACTTAAAAATTGGCACAGATTTTGAACAGATACATTACAAAGAATGTATATTAATGGCAAATAAGCAGAAGGAAATATACTCAAATCATTAGTCATGAGAGAAATGCAAATTAAATCTACAATGAGATTTTTTTGGGGGGAGTGCAGAAAGGTGCTTTTATTAGAGCAGAGGACAGGACCTCTGGGCAGAAAGAGCTGCTACAGTGAGAACTGCTATCAGAATAACTAAAATTAAAATCTGACAATAACAAAAGCTGTAACTACAACTCTGATACACTGATGGTAGGAATGCAAAATGATACACACTCTGGAAAACAGTTTCATAATTTCTTATAAAGTTATATGTACATTTGCCATACAACCTACCAATCATACTCCAACCACACTTTGATTTCAAGTGAAATGAAAAATTATGTTCAATGAAAAACTGAGTGCAAATATATAGAGTGGTTTTATTCATAATCACCAAAAAATGGAATCATTCAAAATGTCCATTAGTTAGTGAATGGATAAAGTATGTACATCCATATAATTGAATATTTCTCATTAATAAAAAGGAACAAACTTGATACATTAAACACCAATAAATCTCATGCATTATGCTAAATGAAAAAAGCCAGACCCTAAATACTATATGCTGTGATTCACATATATTACACAGATGCATAACATATATGTTTATAATTATGAGCTTAGAATATACATTATAAAGTCCCATCTATATGTTTAGGTATGTTTATGTACATGTGTGTGTATATATATATACATATACACATTCCCAGAAGCAATGAGCAAAACTAGTATCTTGATCTTGGTTTCTGAATGCTATTCTTCACTGAAAGGAAGTAGGTTCTTTTATGACTATAAACAATGTAACTATATATGTATAAATAATAAAAAGGCAATCTTATAGGCCAGTTCCCCTCCAAATGATTCAAAGTCTTATCTTGTTAGTTACCACAGTTTTACTTTTTTGTGTTCAGTTTATGTTGGATTAAGGTGTCTTGAAAACATTACACTTTAGGGAAGTAGAGTTTAATCCCCACTCCTTGAGGGTGGACTAGACTTAGTAACTCAGTTCCAAAAAAAAGAGTATGGACAAGGAAAAAAATCAAAACATTTTATCAGAGAAACCCGGCAAGACACTGTTTTAGCCAAGAGATCAAGCTTAATATTGCTAGTGATGTTATATGGGTATGAGGTATCCCTGCTGTGATGTGATGAGAGCTTTTCACCTTTGTAGTATTCTTTCCAGAAACCCATAACCCCAGTCTAATAATGAGGAAATATATTAGATAAACTCAAATTAGGGAATATTCTACAAAAATATCTAATCAGTACCACTCAGCTGTCAAGATAATGATAAACAAGGAAAGACCAACCATCTCAGACCAGAGGAGACAAAGAAGACATAACTGTCTGCAATGTGTTATCCTGTAATGGATTCTGGAACAGAAAAAGACATTGAAAGAAAAACTAATGAAATCCAAAATTGTCTGGTTTTATTTAATAATAATATGCCAATGTTTCCTAGTTTTGACAAATACAATACAATAATGTGAGATGATAACACTAGGGGAAACTAAAACCGGATGGGGAATATACAAGAATTCTCTACAATTTCTGCAACTTGCTGTAAATCTGAAATTATTCAAAATAAAAAGTTTATTTAAAAAATTACTATCACACCTACTTTGTAAAGTCCTTTCCTATACTTTAAGAGAACAGCTTCCTATGTCATTTTGCCATCTTCTGAGAGAAAAGTTCTATTTCTATACTTCTTCCTTTTCATTCCTAGCAAGGAGACAATGATAAGAATTTATACCTGGTATATCTGGTACATTGCTAGTAAGATACAGTAAATACCTTATAAGTAGTTGTTATTATCTTCGTATTTTTTCCTTATACAGAAAGGTATATAATTTAATTATAACTTCTTTTCTAATAGGAAATAATCTAACAGCTCTGCCTATTGGTATCCATAATCTTTTTTCACTGAAGGAGATAAATTTTGATGATAACCCTTTGCTGAGACCTCCAATGGAAATCTGTAAAGGAAAACAACTGTATACTATTGTACACTATCTACAGAGGGCAGATCAAAGAGACGGTAGGCGATCAGTGAGTGACCTACTAGCTTATAAGTAATTTTCTAGTATCATCTATAAATTAAAAAGATAGTATACTTTAAAAAGATAGTATGCTTTCAATGTGGCAGAGGCATTAAAATATTTATCATCTTCCCTTTTCTGAAGGTTAGGAGTTTATTTTGATAATTCAGATGATTTAATCTGGGTCTATATAAACTAAACCATTGAAAACAGGCAAACCCAAGTGGATGGATTGGCTGCTCAATGCCCTTCAAACAGGTTTTTCATCATGGTTGTGCCCAGACTTAGGCCACATAAAAATCTCTTTACTGGTTCTGATCTGTATCACCACATGTAGTAGTTCCAAAATTCTTATCTAGCCTTGAAGAAAGTACTTAAATCTTTTGTACTGAAGCCAATCAGCTTTTGGCCCACTATGATCACCTGTGTACAGTGGTGGGTACTCTCCATTCTTTATCCTTAAGTATTCCATTGATTGTCCCTGATTATTTCAGAGAGTGTGTCCATTTTCTTTCAATGTCCTTTAGCTGGGCCAGATGGAGATCAGTTTCTGCAAGCCTTTCACATGGAAATTTCACCAACTAATTCTTTCCTTAGGGGTAAATTCCCAACAACTAAGCTTTTTTCCTGAGACTCTGACTTTGTTTGTCACAATCAGTGACAGCTGTCATCCAGATTTTGGTTCTCCAATTCAATGAGTATTTAAGAAGTATTAAATCAATTTAATTAGTATGGATCCAGATTTGGGGAAATACACAAAACTGTCCCCACCCCCAAATCATTCTATAATGTCCTTGTCTGTGTAATCAGGAGCTTTTATCAGCATAATCTCACAGTCTAGCTAGATGGTCACTAAAAATGTACAGTCCTCTTTAAGTCACAACATACATCCATATGCATGGCTACCAGTTAGAAGTTTCTCTAAGACTTAGGCCTCATTGATGGAAAGAAACTAAGAGATAAAATTAAAAGTCACAGTAGCTGTTTTTTCTAACTTGTTATGCAAGTTGGTCCTGCTAATTATTATCATTAAAAAGGAATATTTTATGATAATTATTTCTATAAAGTATTTAAGAGTTTCCAAGAATCCATAAAGTATTCTTATTAAGTAACAGAATTTTATAGAGGTGGCAACAGACCAAAGTCAGCAAAAATGAGAGAACCCCCATTTATATCTTACCCAAGGTGCCCTCATACTGCAGGCACCCTGAGAGAGAGGAGAGGAAGTCATCATGGGAGATATATTTATTCTCCAATTAACAAAGAACACGGGATTCCTTCCTTAAAATTTTGCTTAGGATATTGGACTTTCATTTATATCATTAGCATACAATCTAGCCTGAGGGACTGAGATGATTACAGAGGGGTGGGAGATTGCTAGTTCTTAAAAATTCCCAAAGTACTTTAACAACAACAAAAATAGATCTAGTCTAAGATCTAAGGCAGCATTCATTAAATAAATGATTTGAATATAAAATATACATATATACACTATATTTACAGTAGATGTGAACTTGGCTTTTTATGATGCTACATAAAGAAGACAATTAAAAAGCTAGAATCAAAGGATGGAATTAAATTCATTTCAAATCCTTAGAGAATTAAAGAAAGTTTTGAAAATCACTTTAAAGTTGCTTATAATATACTTTTAAATGGCCATTACATGTTATTGATTATTAAGATTTTGGACAAAATTGAACAAATGGTTCGAATTTCAGTTTGTATGTGAGGTCTGCATCTTACTTTTCAATTTTACTTGACACAGACATTTGATAGGAGCACGGAAGTAAGGAACCCAGATATAATAATAAGCTCAAAATAGAGTATGTTTTTCAAAGGAAATGGCTTAAATTTTCTTTTTATGTTCAAATGTAGAGAAAATCCTAGAGAAGATCTTCATCATAGTTGCCAATAATATCACTATAACAAATTTTAAATATTTGTGTCAAAAATTAAACCTGGCAATCTCAGAAACAGATATGTCTACAAAAAGGTATGTATGAAGAACAACATGTGGTATAAGCTATTCTCATATTCTGATTTATATCATTTTGATATTACAAGGTTTTGAAATGTTATATTAACATGAATTTTAATTTGCTGTAAAAGACTCTGATTTTAGTTTATAATATATTTGAGAACCATGTGGGTATAGTGGTTAAAAGTAAAGGCTCTCATGGAAGACTGTTTGGCTTTAAATTACAACTAGTTTTGTGACCTTGGATAAGTCCCTTAACTTCTCAGTACTTTAGTTTTTCCACTGATAAAATGGATATATTTACCTAAGAGAGTTGTCATGAGATCAAGTTATTATTATTATTATTATTATTTTAAATTTTTTTTAATTTATTTATGATAGTCACAGAGAGAGAGAGGCAGAGACACAGGCAGAGGGAGAAGCAGGCTCCATGCACCGGGAGCCCGACGTGGGACTCGATCCCGGGTCCCCAGGATCGCGCCCTGGGCCAAAGGCAGGCGCCAAACCGCTGCGCCACCCAGGGATCCCTCAAGTTATTATTTTTTTAATAAAATTTTGTTTATTTTTGAGAGACAGAGACACAGGCAGAGGAAGGAAAAGCAGACTCCATGCAGGGAGTCCGATGTGGGACTCAATCCTGATCCTAGGAATCCAGAATCACTCCCTGAGCCAAAGGCAGATGCCCAACCGCTGAGCCACCCAGGTGTCCCATAGATCAAGTTATAAAGCATGTAGTACTGTAGCAGTAATACACTGCCTTAGAATAAAAAACCCATAATTACTGTTTTGAGACCTTGAGTAAATCTTAGAACTAAATTTTAATTGATTTCCTACTAGGAAACAAGGGTTGGCATGGGGCTGACTTTCAGTATTTGCCAAGCTTGGTGCTAATATTATATGAACTATCTTCACCAATAACTTAATCCTCACTTCAACCTGGTAAATTGGTTTGAAAACCTAGGTATACAGTATTTAAGTAATTTAAATCTTCTTAACTGGTAAGATAAAATAATATTATCTTTAAATTTTTCAGCCCTGTTTCATTAAGTGATAGAGTCCTCCAAGCACTTCATAAGTGGAAAACAGAAAGTATCAACTTGTCACTAACTACTGCTGCTTTAAGAGACCAACTAACTCGGGCACTAACTATGATAGGAGCATATGAAATTATGGACAAAATAACAGCTTTAAAACTTTTTACGTGTGCAATTAAATTCTGAACAGTGTACCCATAATAAAAGCTGAAAACTTATGATGTACTTATATAATTGAAACTGGGTATAAGAGAATTGCATGTTATGTCTCTTTTCATGCATTCCTAAGAGATAATGACAATTTATGGCTACCACTTTAATGTTATCATAATAAAATATGAGAGACACTATTTTGTGTACCTGTTCTGTTACCTTGGAATTATGATTAATAATTTTTAAAAAGAAATGATTCCATTAAAAATTCTTTGTTATACAATGCTTTTATACAACCCAAGATTTATAGGTAATAAGGTCATTAGTAACTTGCATTGGAGTTACAAAGCAGAGAAATTTCATTTTAGACGCTGGCTTAAAAAAAAGAAATGAATGTCCTACCATTTCTCCATTAGGAATGGGATAGGTCTGTTAAACATAAATCAGAGCCAAGGTCAGTAATCCTCTACAAATCTCTCTCAACTTTTAATATGGTTACATCCCAATAAACCCACTGTAAGTTGAAAATAATACAAGTCAAAAAATGTAGTTTATACCATAGCACCTTTACCCATTCATATATTGGTGAACACTTGGGCTGCGTCTATAATTTGGCTATTGTAAATAATACTGCCATAAATATATGGGTGCATGTATCCCTCTGAATTAATGTTTTTGTATTTTTGGGGTAAATACTCAAGAGTGTGATTACTGGATCATAGGGTAGTTCTATTTTTAACTTGAGGAACATCCATACTGTTTTCCCCAGTGGCTACACCAATTTACATTCCTACTAACAGTGCATGAGTATTCCTAGAGACCAAGAAAATACTGTTTCGTCAAAACTCTTTCCATTGCAGTTAAGCTTAAAACAAACAAAAATCAGCTTACACAACTGAAGCCAAAGAAGCTCCAGATGAAACCAGCTTTAAGTTAACGGTGAGGAAGAAAACACTGCATTGTGTTTGGATTCTGAGGGCAAAAACTGTTTATTAGCATTGTACTGTAGTAGGAAGAGAATAGTTAAAACTGTAGTTTCTAGAGTCTGTGAATACAATGCATCTTTTGAAAGAGTTTAGGAGGCTTACTCTTGAATAATTTACATAAACAAATACAATTCAAAACTATATATAATTTTCACAATTATTATTTTGACTCTTCTGATTTAGCTAAATAATTTTTCACAAACATTTGAAGCAATGAAATCAATTAAAGGTTTCATTTGTGTAACAGAAAAGTAAACTAGCAACTTATCTGCACTAAGAAAATTTTTATCTTGTGAAAAGTATGTGGTCAAAACAAAAATGCAGGGCAGCCCGGGTGGCGCAGCGGTTTGGCACCGCCTGCAGCCCAGGGTGTGATCCTGGAGACCCGGGATCGAGTCCCTCATCGGGCTTCCTGCGTGGAGCCTGCTTCTCCCTCTGCCTGTGTCTCTGCCTCTCTCTCGCTCTCTCTGAATGAATAAATAAATAAATCTTAAAAAAAAAATTCATTTCTTTTGGCTTTCTATTTAACAAATTTTACTGATAAGAAGCTAATTTCCATTCTTAAAGAAGTTAGTATTTTTAAAAATATTTTTTCCCAAAGAATGAGGGCTTTGTAAAGTTTTTATGTTTCAACTACATAGAGAAACTGAGCAGTATCAGGATGCTCTGCTTTTCTCCTGTTTAAGATTCTATGTTTTGGCCTCATTTTCTCAGGCTCTTTTCTGTGACATAAGATGCCTGTTGGTAGCTCATAAAAGAAGAGTTGATTTATTTCTTTGTATCTAGTATTATAGAAAATGAGTCCAATTAGATTGTTTTTTACTGATATATCTTAGCAGATTATAACCGGAACAGGTGAGTAGTTTATTTTATCCCTAACCTTATTTTCACAATGCTGATGATGAATAAGACAAATTTAAATACCAGCAAAAGGAAACTTCATCTGAAAGCACAGAACATAGCCAAATCCATCCACTCATCCCAGACCAGGTTAGGGCATATGTGGTAACTGCTACTGTTACCTCTACAACAGACCCCATTTTCTGTTCCTTCTTGGCATCCTACTAGATAACGTCTCCAAGCTTCCCTTGCGGTTAGGTGTTGCTCCCGTGATTGACTTCTCCAAATGAAACATAGGCAGAAATGATGTAAGTTGCTTTCAGACCTAGCTCCTAAATAGACGTACCATTCCCTGACTGGTTGGAGGTCCTGGGCATGGCAGACCCATAAAACTAGGGAGTCTTGCTCCCTGAGTCTCAAATCAGAAGACAGCTCCTCAACTAGGCATGGCTATTTTGCACTGCTGAATAAGTTATAAATTCTGAGGTCTGAGGTCAAGACCACACCCCAAGGGATGTTTTGTTATCTTACCCAAACCAAAGGAGTGGCATCTCCCAAGCAAGAGCAGATCCACGACTGTCCTAGTACCAAAGTTGCAGAAAAGAAAGAGAAATCTGTGAGGGTTCTATGATTCAGTAAATATCCTTACCTTACCTTCATTTATATTACCATTCCTTCTTATTGGTAGAATTAAACGAAGAATTAGAAAAATTGAGAGCAGGCTGAACTTTCTATAGAAGTCACCAAAATAAAAGTGTTTAGTATATGGAGGATAATCAATAGCAGACATTAATAGAGTTCCATTTAACATTTAATAGCAGCCATTCATAGAATTCTACTTAACATTTAAACATTTTAAGCCCTGTTAATCTTTATGACTATTATGCCCCTTGAGGTAATCATAGCTGAATTTTCCACAGTTTATCTTGGCTTATTATCATGTGTACCATACCTCTATTTTATTATATTTTAGTATATGTGCTGCTGAAGCGAGCACATATTTTATTATATTTTAATTTGAAAACATGGCAAAACAGCAGTTAAATAAGTTTTTAAACAGGAAACAACATAATGTAGTTAAATCTGGGGGGAATGAGATGACACCTAACTTGTATTTATTTAGTTTTTTTGCTCATTTGTATTTTCTGTTTTTTCCCCCAATGAGTATATGTTACAAAAAAGAGTAAAAATGAAGTCACATAATCCTATTCTCTTAATATATTACAGCCAATTTAATGTTTGCAAGTTATCTTTTACCTTGGTGTTTATAACCATATGCATATAGTTTGTTTTATATAATAGCAGTGCAATACATACATTTGGAACCAAACAATTTTGCATTCCTGCTTTGCCCCTAATGGTCTTGTGAAAGTCATTTAATCTGTGCCCTGATTTTTCCCTTCTGATAAAAAAAATTTCTAGTGTTGTGCTTTACATGAGTTCTCATGTACATGAATACATGAGAACTTAGTGCATAATGTATTAAATGCAAAAAAATCAAAATAGTGTTCTAACATGTTTTATAATTAGCAACTATTAATATATATTAAACTTTTATCATATTTCCCCCATTTTCCTATATGGTCTTCATAGTTATATTTTGGTAACTATTCCATCTGTTGTTTAATATTCCATTATGAAACAGTAATAAAATACAGTTGACCTTGAACAATGTGAAGTTGGGATGCTGACCCTCCATGCAGTTGAAACCCATATATAAATGTTTGCCTTTCCAAAAGCTTAACAACTAATAGCCTAAGGTTGAGCAGAAGCTTTACCAATAATATAATTGATTAATGCATATTTTACATGTTATATCTATTATATACTATATTCTTACAATAAAGTTAGGAAAAAAGAAAATGTTATTTAGAAAATCATAAGAAAAACATTTTCAGTACTGTACTGTATTTATTAAAAAAATACACATATGTGGACCCGTGGAGTTCAAACCCATATTATTCAAAAGTTAACTGTAGTCTAAAAATGTTGGGCAGTTGGCATTTGGGTTGCTTCCAATACTTAACATTCTTGACATTGCTGCATTAAACATTTTTTTTCAAAAATTTATTGCACTAAAACATGTAACAAAATTTACCATCTTAACCATTTTTAAGCATATAGTGCAACTGTGTTAAATATATTGAACAATGTTATGTGATCATCACATGTGTGATCATTTCCATACTTTCATCTTATAAAACTTAAACTCTATATTCATTTTTAAAAAATATTTATTTACTTGAGGGAGAGAGAGGGAGGGAAAGAGCATCCACGAGTCGGGGGCTAAGGGGGAGAGGGAGAGGGAGAAGCAGACTCCTCACTGAGCACAGAGCCCAATGCAGAACGTGATCCCAGGACCCTGAGATCATGACCTGAGCTGAAGGCAGACGCTGAATTAACTGAGACACCCAGGGACCCTGAAACTCTATACTCCTTAAATGATAACTTTCCATTCCCCATTTCCCTTAACTCCTGACATCCACCATTCTTTTTGTCTCTACGATTCTGATTACACTGAGTACTTCATATAAGTGGAATCACAGTGTTTACGTTTTTGTGACTGGCTTATTAATTTACAGTTAAAATAATCACTGATGGGAGATTTAACTTCTACCATTTTGCTATTTGTTTTCTATATGCTATATAGCATTTTGACCCTCATTTCCAGCCTTATAATCTTCTTTTGAGTTTAGCTAAAATTTTTTTTGCTGTGCAATGTTTAAATTCCTTTTGTATTTACTTTTGTGTTCCATAGGTATTTTTTCTTTATGGTTACTATGGGGATTACATTTAACATGCTAAAGTTGTAATATTCCAATTTGCATTTATACCAGCTTAACTTCAATAACATACAAAAACTCTGCTCCTTTAGAGCTCTGTCCCTATCCCTTTTGGTTATATGTCACAAAATTACATATTTACACAATGTATGCCCCAAAACATAAACTAGTAATTCTTTTAAAGCATTAATCTCCTAAATATGTAGACAACAGAATGTAGAATTACAAGCCAAAGTCACAGTAATACTAACTTTTAGACTAATTTTTTTAATGTATCAATCTCTTAAATCATTTAGAAAGAAAAAAAAAAGAGTTACAAACCAAATTTATAATAATACTAGCTTATATAATGAGGTCAGTATTATCCTGATACCAAAACCAGATAAAGACACTACAAAAAACTCCAGAACTATAGAACTATGTTCAGAGATGAACATAGATGTGAAAATTCTTAGCTAACCAAATCTGATAAAACATTAAACAGTCATTTATCACAATCAAGTGGTACTTATTCCCAGAATGTGAGGGTGACTCAATATTTGTAAATCAATCAATGTGATGCTATATATCAACGAGAAAGAATAAAAATCATATAATCATTTCAATAGATGCAGAAAAAGCATCTGACAAAGTGCAACATCCATTCATGATAACAACCCCCCCCTTTTTAAAAAAAGATTTATTTATTTATTCATGAGAGACAGAGAGAGAGAAAGAGAGGCAGAGGCATAAGCAGAGGGAGAAGCGGCTCCTCGTAGGGAGCCCAATGTGAGACTCGATCCTGGATCCTGGGATCATGCCCTGAGCTGAAGGCAGATGATCAACTATTGAGCCACCCAGGTGTTCCCATGGTAACAACCCTTAACAAAGTAGATTTAGAGAAAACATACCTCCCATACAAAAAGGGCCATATATGAAAAACCCATATCTAACATCACACTCAATGGTGAAAAACAGAGTTTTCCCTAAGGTCAGAAATAAGACAAGGATGTCCACTCTCACCACTTTTATTCAACATAGTACTAGGAAGTCCTAGCCACAGCAATCAGATGAAAAAAGAAATAAAAGTCACCTAAACTGGTAAGGAAGAAATAAAACTTTTACTATTTGCAGATGACATGATACTTTATATAGAAAACCCTAAAGACTCCACAAAAAAACTACTACAAGCAATAAATGAATCAAGTTGCAGGACACAAAATCAATATACAGAAATCTTTTGCAATACTAATAATGAAGCAGTAGAAAGAAAAGTTAAGAAAACAATCTCCTCCCAAAAAGAAAACAATCCTATTTATAGTTGTACCAAAAATAATACCTAGAGATAAATTAACCAAGGAAGTGAAAAGACCAACTATAAAACACTGAGGAAGAAACTGAAGACCACACAAATGAAAAGATATCACATGATCATGGATTGGAAGAACAAATATTATTAAAATGTCCATACTACCCAAAGCAGTCTACAGATTTAATGCAATCCCTACCAAAATACCAATAGCATTTTTCACACAACTAGAACAAACAGTCCTTGGATTTGTATAGAACCACAAAAGACCCTGAATAGCCAAAACAATCTTAAAAAAAACAAAACAAAACAAAAAAAAGCCAAAACTGGAGGGAGGAGTCACAATTCCAGATTTCAAGATACACTACAAAGCTGTAGTAATCAAAATAGTATGGTAGTGGCACAAAAACGACACACGGATTATCAGAATAAGAGTCCAGAAACAAACCCATAATTTTATGGTCAATAAACCTTGAGAAAGGAGGCAATATCTAATGGAAAAAAGTCTCTTCAACAAATGGTGTTGAGAAATTAGACAT